AGTGATGAACAAAACAGATTAAAGATTTAGTTTATGATCATTATCATTTCAAATTATTATGTGATGTCTCCTGTGTATGCTACTACTAAGCACATGATTTATGTTTATTGGATTCTTATCCCCAGTGACGTAGCGTAGAACTTAGTGTAGAATTCCTGCGTAATGAATGTTGATGGCGGGACTTTGGAGTACATACATCCTCACAGTGTAGGTTAACAAGTTCTAGGCCTGAAAGTGGGCTGTGCAAATGTCAAGTGCTACTTCCCAATGTACAGTGCTTGGTACCTTCAGAAAATTACTGGAACTTTCCCATCTAAAAATCAAGAAAGCTGTACTAGAAAACCACTGATGTCTCTTCTAACTATGATTCTTTAAAGTAACTGGTGTGATACACTATTTATTTAGTAGTTCTAATTCTACTCTTCTTGAGTTTAATAAATTTTAATGTTAGAATAGTTTAGTTTTTAAAAAGATGCAATATGTCAGTTCCCATATTCATATCACCTAATTTTCCTTATTGTGAGAGTTTCACATTATTTTAATACATTTGTCACAACTAATGAACCAGTACTGAATCTACATGCCATGTTTCATTCAGATTTCTTTGCTACCAAAATGTCTTTTATCCCCCGTTATCTCTAAGGGTTCCATGCAGTGTCCTACATTATATTTAGTCATCATGTCTCTTTAGTTTCCTCTACACTGTGACATTTTCTCAGACTTTCCTTGATAATTTGGAGGAGCACTGGCCAGGAATTTGGTTGAGTGCCCTTAAATTTAGGTTTGTTCTATGCTTTTCTTTTGGGTAGACATAGACAAGGGTTATGGATTTGGGGGAGGAAGACCACAGAGGTAATTCATACTTCTGTTAACATGATCATCAATTTAAAATTCTGTTTCAGTGAGTACATAATTATACATAACTTGTATTTTAACATGCCATGCTAAAAAATATTTTTTTACTATATGTATATAATAGTTGATTTTCTTTAAATAGAATATTAAAATATATATACTTAATGTTTTATTCACAAAAAGCCCTTTTATCACAGATAAAACAAAGAAAAAACATGTCTTGTTATAAATAAATAATAATACAATCTGTATGGAGGCAAGATCTGTATATTAAATTTAAATGAATACTATACCTTTTCATTTCTTTAAAATTACTTGCGTATTTACAAAATAACATATCTGTGCTCAGCTGTGTGGTTAAACGTCACCATAAAATATAAATGTAGCAAGTTAAGCATTTTATATTAATTCCTCTAAGCCTATTTTAAGGAAGGGACTTGCCTGAAGAGATATTAATACTTCACTAGGCCCCCAGCATAGAAAATCTGGTGTCTTCTGGGCATGGTAGTGCATGCCTATAATCCTAGCACTGGAAGGCTGAGGCAAGAGAATCATTGTGAGTTCAAGACCAGCCTGGGCTACAAAGTGAGCTCAAGGCCTGCCTGAGCTTCATAGCAAGACCCTGTCTCAAAAAGACAAATAGGGGCTGGGGATTTAGCTCAGCAGCACAGTGCCTGCCTGGCAAGTGCAACATCGTGAGTTCGATTTCTGGTACCAGAAGAAAAAAAAAAAATCAAAAAGACAAATAAAAAAATGAGAGAGAGAAAAGGAAAGAAAGAAAAAAAGAAAGAAAGAAAGAAAAGAAATGAAAATCTGGTATCTACTCTTATGGTGTCTTTGGTATAAATGTATGTCCTCCTCTGGTGTTAGGAGAAATGCTAACATAGCTATTGCAAAGATTGGGAGATCTACAATTTTATTTATTCTGTACTTTTATTACAGATTTTACTGTGGTAAGGAAGTTATTTTAGGATTAATGATGCTTATACTGTGTACTATTTTCACATCAAGACATGTCAATGCACAGCTAAGTTATTAGAAGTAGCTTATTACTAGGTAAATCTGTGCCATGGTAGATTTCAGTGAAGTAAATACCAACAGCATCATACTCTGACTGCGTTGTGTGACCACAGTGAGTTGCAAGGTATCTATGTTTATGTTTGCCCCTTCCCATAGAGTAAGCTGATAATAAGAACAACTCAATAGTTTCTAGCTAGCTGCTGTTTGTGATTTTATTCTGGACAGTCACAGTCATGATCAAGACTATCATTCACAGCGTTTTTTTAAATGCTCAGATTTCAAATTGGAAATTGTAACACACACATATAATCCCAGCACTGTGGGAGGCCGAGGCAAAATAATCATAAATACAAGCCCAGTTTGGAGAACCTAATAACTTAGAAAGACCCTACCTCACAACAAAAAAATTTAAAAAGGGCCAGGACATAGCTCAGTGGGAAGGTACTGTGTTTAATTGTTGGTACCAACAAAAAAGAAGAAGAAGGAGGAGGAGGAAGAACAGGAGGGGACGGGGAGGAGAGGGGAAGAAGGAGAAGAAGGAGGAGTGGGAGAGGAAGAGGGAGATGGAGAAGGAGAAGGAGAAGTAGAAGGAGAAAGAGAAGGAGAAAGCAATCCATGATTTGCTCATTCCATGAAATATTTTGCCCTGACTAATTATATCTCACCTATGTAATCTTGGGAAATTTCCTTCACTGCTGAAATTGTCTGATTGTTACAGTTTTGTATAAGAGGTGAAATGAAATTTAAGTCCATAAAAAATTATTTGAAGTGTATAAGCCACTTAGAGAACTGGCAACTCTTCATGCACAAGTATATACAAACAGGGTTTCAAACAGAAATTTCTGATTTACTGGAGGCAATGAACAGCCTTAGGACCATTTGAAATTGTCATGTTTTATGCCGTCTTGAAATCCTCAGAAATATTTTCACTCTGTTGCTGGGCACTTTAATAGAGCTTTAGCAGAGAAGAAAAAACTTAGCAGGAAGTGGACCTCTCAATATTCAGTGAAACAAATGCACAAAGGATGCTTAAAATATGGTATCTGTTCAAGTTTTTAAAAATGTATTACAGTAAAAGACACATTGCCATTAGTCCTTCTCAGAATACCCCCTTCACACTTATCCCATCGCTCTTGTGACTTTGAAGCAGCTCTGGAAGTCCTCTTTCATGAGTGTCTATACCCAGTGTGATCAAAATGTCACGAAAGGGGCTGTAGAGTGACTTCCAGTGGAAAGGCTGGTTCCTAAAACATTCCAGTGTGTCTTCATCCACAGTATTCATTGGGTCTGACACTGTGCAACTTAGAGCTCTTCCCTGAAGTAAAACTGACCATAAAAATCAAATATTTTGAATCAGTGCAGGACATTGAGGTAGCCATGACAGCATAAATAAAGACACGCATGAAAGAAAACTTTCAGAACTGTTTGAGAAAATGACACGATTGATGGGGTAAGTGAGTGCAATTGTGGGAAAGTACTTTGAGGGGGGAATCAATGGCAATGTGTCTTTTACTGTAATAAGTTTTTAAAAGTTTAAATATTCACAGTATTTTCCTATCATAACTTAATGACAAAAAATGTTAATTTTATTTATTTTTCTTATTCTATGAGACACTGGTTTGTAGTATGATATTTTTAAGATATGGTTGGTGAGTATTTCCCATTCCATAGAAAGAGACCTATTTATTGATTGGAACCACTAAAGATAAATAAGTGACTAAAAGTATGCGAAATGTCAGGCAAAGGAAGCAAGATCCAAATGAATCCTTTTATTGAGCAACCTTTTTAAAAAGCCCATTTTTCTCCTTATATTAGTGTTTCTGATACATTTAGGAAAGTAACAATAAGCAACCTCATCCCTCGTTCTTACTCATACACCTGGAACAAGGAAACATTCTGTGCTGCAGCCAATTCTTGATGATATAAGCTAATAAACAGTAAATACTTATGCAGACAAGGCATCACTGTAGGCAGACCACTGAACCTTGTGCCCAGAGCCCAGTCTCTTTGTCTTGAACACAGTGTTGCATAATAATTGACCATGGTATCATTTGAATGATGGGTAATAGCAGTTCCAATAGCTAGAAAGGCAGCCTGGAGTTCTTTGGGCAAAGAATTCAGAACCAGCTGACAGGCAGAAGGATGAAAATAGGAGTAAATAAGATATAAATTTAGAGGTTAATGGCAGCTCTTTATTGGATATGGCAAGCATTGCTAAAATCCCAGTGATTGGCTTATTTGGGAAGAGAGCTAAGTGTACCCAAGTGAAGCTAGGACAAAGTAGTTTTGCTTTGAAAGTTGATCTCTCCAGATTTGGTGTCAGACTTGAGAGCCAAAAGGGTTGTTAAGTTACAGTGCATCAACACTTCATGGTCATCAAACTCCTGAAGTAACATTAACATGGTGTGACTTGTCTGTGAATTACTTGTGAATAGTGGCTATTGATGTTTCAGTACTTTGGCCACATACTTCTGGCACACAGTTTGATGCAGACTGCGCATTTAATTAATATGAAGACTACAACTGCTTTCTTCTTGATATTGATGATTTTAGTCCTGGGCATCACAATATAACTCTTTGTAAATAGAGCAATGTTTTTCTCAACTGCTGATCTGGACAAAGCAATTATAACATTGGGGTTTATACTTTCTTCCTAAGCATATATCAAAAAGTCCTATACTTACTTTCTTAGTCAAAGAAAATATAAAAAGAAAATAGAAAGATGACTGGTAAGAAAAAAGAAAGATATCTTAAATGTTTTTCAATTTCTACTTCAATTTTTAAAAGCCATCTATGTAGAAATAGAGAGTGAAATATACTGTAAATATTATTTTTTCCAAGCTAACATATTAAGAGAAAATTTGTGGTATGCTTATTCACCCTATGTAATATTTAAAACCTGTATTTTCATATATTCTGAAGAATCATCTGAATGTTTTATTTCAGAACATAAAATTGCACGGAATCAGCTGTGTAAACATCCTCATGAGATAACTGATATACAGTTGATAAGCAATTGCTAATTTCTCTTTGCTATTGGTGGGATGTAATGTTAGTGCTATGTTTACAAGATAATAGAGAAAGATGATGCCACTGCCCCTCTTCCTGTGTTATTTTGAATGCAGACAGTGCCACAGGGACACCAGCAATATCAACGACGACAAGTGTGGAAATCCGCAAAAGCAGTGTTATGACAACTGAGATCACCTGTAAAGTGGAGAAAAGCCCCACGACAGCCACTGGCAATAGCTCATGTTCTTCCACAGAGACAGAGGAAGAAAAGGCAAAGCGGCTTCTTTACTGTTCTCTATGCAAGGTTGCAGTCAACTCCGCCTCGCAGCTGGAGGCGCACAACAGTGGTAAGATGCCGCGATTTCCTTTCTGTCTCAACAACGCTGCAATTATCTTCCTCCGAATAGATTAGGTCTTTTGCAGCAGGGGACAAAGGGGGAGCAGAAAACTGGCAAATATTACATGAAATTCAATAACCATTAAAAATAAAAATGACAAGGAAAATGTCACTTATATAAGGGCAAAGAGAGGTTTCTAGGGCCTGTGGGCCATCGTGTGTGTGTGTGTGTGTGTGCGCGTGTGTGTGTGTGTGTGTGTGAGTGTGTGTGTGTGTGTGTGTGTGTGTACACTTTACTAATTATTAGGAGACAAAATATAATTCTAAAATGTTTTTTCTTTATATGATTTCTAGATTACTTACACAATTCCATGCATTTATCTCCTTGTAAATGAAGTTTTCTAAAATTGTACCTATAATATTATTGCAAAATGTGTTTGCATAATTCCATACTTTAGATTAAAACCCCTTTATTATGGTTTTTATGGCAAATACTCTTGTTTTGGTTTATCTGTGTGATCTAAGCAATTAAACTTAAAGTATTTGGAATGGGATAAAGTTCACTGGTACAGTGCCTACTAATACATGTTTATAAAGGAAAAAAGCATTTATTACATACAGCCATCAAGGTCCAGTCTCTACATGTAATACTTTATTTATTCTTCTTATAACTTAAATATATTGTTCTTGCCATTTGACCGAAGCTCAGGAAAGAAAGAGCATCTTCCCAGAAGGAACCATGTTTCAAGCATATTTCAATCTTACCTAAACATTAACCTTTAAAGCAGAAAGGAAAATACTGGAATACTCACAAGACAGAATAAGGTGCTCTCTCAGTATACAATATTATGGTTCCATCCAGTTAGTGGGGGGGGCGTGCAAAGACACAGATACCAGCTTTTTTTAAAACAGGGATTGATTGCCAAGATCAACCTTTCTCTAGAAACATGGGTCCATTGCCAGGATTCTGTCAGCAGTTATAATAGAAGATGCATTTATGAATCATGCTCTAAGTTAACATTGCAGCTGTATGCTGAGTCACTGACCAATCACTGTGCCGCACTGGTAATAGTCAAGTGTTGGCTTCCAGACTCTAAGGCGTAATTGCAGATGATTATCTTCCTCCTGCATACATTAGCTGCAGTCAGGGAAGGTTCACAAGTTCAAGAGTTGAAAAACAAGGAAAAGCACCTGGCCCCGACTCAGAATCCACACTCTCTAGATGTGTCATGTGTTTCCTTGTACAAATAGTATTTTTCCTGGATGTTTTATACTTAGCAAAGTGTAAATATTATTGGAAATACAATTTATTTTCAAGAATTCTCGATCTCTTCACATAGTGACAGAGAACACGTTGATTTGGGGCAGGATGTTGATATTCACAGATTACAGTGCCATTTGAGGTTGGAATTTATTTGTAAGGCTTCTGTAGTCTTACTTGAATCCTTATAATAGACATCAGATTAACAAGCAATTAAAGGGGCTGGGGATTTAGCTCAGCGGCAAAAGCGCCTGCCTGGCAAGCGC